GCCTGCCAAAGCTTATACATGAAGGAAAATTTATATTTCTAAAAGCAGTACATTAATCTAAAAGAAGTATAGAGGTGTTTATCATAATAAATAATTTTCTTTATTAATTATAAAAATGCTCATTAAGCATTCAAATACTATTTACAGGTCTTTTTAAAAAATTCATCTAGCTTTGTAATTTAAGTAATTGAATCTTAGATGTCCTGCATCTCACTTCAAGAAACCAGAATGAATTAACACGTACCTGTTTATTACATAATTAAGAGGTGGTTTTATTTAAGCTAAGAAATAGAACTAAAAGAGCACTCTCTATGAATGTTAATGTCCAGAGCAAGAGCCATTAGTTGATGACTTCCATAAAAAAGCAAATGTGTTCTGTACTACAAAATACAGTTATACAACCACAGTGTAAAGGCATGCCCATCTCTTCAGGCATGCACCCCTGGAGCAGTCAGTGGAGCTGCTATAATAATGGCATGTTCCTGCCATGGGTTGTTCTACTGAAAATTTTATCTTTCAAACGTGAGTCGGCCAAAGGTAGTTAGCTGTAGTTAGTTGCCGTCATTAACAGCATATACCCAGGCACTGAAAATAAGGAACCATTTGACGAAAAGATCAACCTTCTCCAGAAACCCAGAAGATGTTTCCATAGCAAACACAGTAGACAACAAAAGCAGGTGGCAGGAAGCCCTGATGTGGAGGAGTTGGTCACTCCATCCTCTGGACGGTGTCGGGTATCACATGATTCATAAACGCAAGGCAGCTCACGGTGACCCTTGGAAAGGCTGGAGTCACTGAAGAAGCTGCAATTCAAAAAGGGTCGGGCCTGCTTGTTTGAGCAAGAGAATTCCGAAGCAGGGCTAACATGGGTGTGGACATAGGTTGACAAGTAGGATATAAACTGGAGGTGGGCTTCGGTCACTGGCCTCTGCAGTTACAAAGCTCCTCAGCACCTTCTAAACGAGTTTGTGCTCCCTGGGATCCTGATGCATCTTGTCCTGTTTGGCTATAAACTTTTAAAAAGTGGAGGGCTGATGTTCTGTCGGAACGGACATCAGTCATTTCAAAGAGTGCAAAGCACACCAGTATAATTTGTCATTGTTCTCCACATACTAGATCTGGCTTCACTTAAACTCACTGTGTACCTCCGCTGCTTAGGTCACTTCCGGCTGATGAGGCCTTGCCAGCTCCAGCTTCTATCCCCAGGCCCTTTCCAAGGCTACTCCTTTGCTCCAAAGCATGCATTAGCATAGGCGACTCTCTCATCTCAAGGAGATAGATGGTCATGCTGCCACTTCACTGGATGGTGGGGTAATTCACGCGACTGCAATCTTTATTCTCTGACAAACGCCTGGAACGCCTACTTGCCAGGCGAGTATTTTCATCCATCCCACTGCCATTTACACACCCGTGCACGATTAAGACTTTTTACAACATTTTTTAGTAAAAGTCAAACAGATTGATGAACTTTCTTTCAGCTAAATGTAGGTACTAGAAAGGGGTGTTCCCTCTCCAAGAGGAAAATGTTTGTTTATTTTGCTGCACCACAGGTATGGAGTTCTGATAAATAAGAAACAAAGTGAAGTGAATTCAATTTCCTAGATTTTTGTTTTAATGGGGGGGGGGACTCATTCATTTGGGAAAAAAAAAAGGAACCTAAATTTCACATCTGCAGAGATAAGAAACCCTGAGTTCAGAACGTGGAATAGCATTGAACAGAAGGCCATGCATTTCAGGCATGCTCTGGGATTCTTCTGTTGCATGCGTAAGTTGATGTGCTCACTGGCGAATGAGGAGCCATTTGAAGGTTAACATAACCTCGAACACTGTCAAGGTCCTCGGGGATTTAATTGGTTTGTGGAACAACTCCAAACTAGTCCACTGCTTTCTTCTTTCTTTGCCTTTCTGATTCTCTTTTCATAGGGAAAAAAAAAGGAGGACGCATGGTAATGCATCATTTATAAATTACCTTGTTATTGAGGGGGAAAACACACACACACACACACACACACACACACACACACACACACACACACACACACACACACACACAAAACACTGCTTTGAAAACCAAACAAACTCCTGCTGCGGACTCGGGGCTGTTTGATGGAGACCCTTCAAAAGAGTCCAGGGCGTAATGGAGGTTGTTTGTGCAGAGACTTCTTCGATCTGTACCTGCTGTCCCCTGTCACTCCCTGGAAACTTGGCGGCAGATGTTGCAGCCCTAAGTTTGTCTCTGAAGTGGCTCTCTGTCCTGTCCCCCCACCGCCGTGGAGTCAAACTGCATTAGATCTCCTATTTGTGCCTCCGGCAAGTTTGGGAGCGCAGCTGTGTCCACCCGGCTCCTACCTTTGGAGTTTCAGGCCTCCAGGCAGCGCGAGAGAGACCAAAACGGTCCTGCCGCTCTCAACTACCTCGGCTGACAATCGGCCGCCGCCGCCACCAGCAGATGTCGGGACAACCTGCTAGCGCGCACCTGGCCGCCAAACCCGCGACTCCCAGGACCTGCCGCCTGCATCAAAGCCCGAGCTCGCCCGCAGCCGAGCGCTGGGAGCCCGCCCGCCCCCGCGGCCGCTTTGATAAGGCTCGCACCAACTTCAGCCTCCGCATCAAGGACTTCGGGGCGCGCAGAGCTCAGCCCGGGAGCCCCGCGGCCTCTGCGCCCCAGCACAGCTTCGGCTCCAAATGCACCGGGAAGGACACGCTGGCCCACCTGCGGGACTCAAGGCAGCTTCAGTTCTGTGGTCGCGGGTTTGTTTATTCAACTGAGCTCTCTCGGGAGGCGGAATCTGCGGGAAACTGTTCCTACATAAATGACAAGGCTGTTTTCCAAAGCACAAAACAAGCTGCTGGGTAGGCAGGGGTTGTGTTCCTTGGAGCCATTAGTCAGGCCCTGAGAACAATTGTGCTTTACTAGCTGTCACGCAGCTTAAAGTCAGCCTCCTCCCCCACCCTCAGAGGATGCGACTCTCTGTATCCAGAAGGTAAAGTATTATTTATGCCCTGGCAATGTAAACGAACATCCCCCATCTAAATGTGGGAGTTCCAGAGCCTTCCTAATGCCTAAAATGAATAAACTGTTTTACAATCACACACTCACCCTCCTGTACCAACATAAATACTTCACAAAAAGCACAAACAGAAGTAAATGTTGTATTTGCGCATATGCTTGCACACAAAAGAGGTTGATGGCCACCACGGGGGTGGGGGGGAGATTATTTACATGGTGATACATTTTAAATTTTTCCTTTAAGGAATTGACCTTAATATCAGATAACACTTGTCCCAATGAGTTATTTGATATCAGAGTTAAACTACTTCAATAAGAATTTAACATGCTTCTCTATGCTGACAATACACTATTTAATAGACTTTCTAATATTTAATGGAAAGTAAATTTTTAGAGCAAACTGGTAATCAGATGAAAATGAAGGCCTCACATACATATATACAGTTCATATTTACATGAAGTATGTATTCATGGTTTAGAACTTAATGTTGAACTCTGTTTAACTGAATACTGGTGAGTTTTAGGGGAGTAAATTTTGCAAACATCCAAAGTTTTTCATAATAGTTAAAAGAGCATATAAAGTTTTAAGAAGAGAACTGGAATCCCACCCCCAATATCTCACCATTCACTTAATATCCAACACTTAATAACTTAATAAGATGGAAATTATTAAACATACAAACCAATATCTAACCTGGTGAAGAGCATGCTGAGAAGAGGCATGAAAATAATTGTAAGCAAAATGAAGTGAAAGTTGAGAGAGTTCACGAGGAAGAAGAGTTACATGTAGCTCCAGAAACAGAACTCAAACCCACATCTGAACTTAAACTGAGATGTGAATTTCCACATAAAAGAGATTTCTATTGAGAATCTGCCAATAAACTGGCAATAGAGGAGTCTGCATCATAGAGCACATAGCTCTCTCTCCCAGTGGTCCTATCCAAGGGCACTGGCATCATGCTAGAGAGTTCAGCAATATTTCTCAAGATGCATATCCTCACTGGCTGAACTCAGAGGTGTCTGAAATGTTCCAAAGTTGAATTTTAAATTTAAAATTCTTTTAAACTCTTAAACACCGAGCTAAAACCACCTAATACTAAATACATCTTATCTTGGCCTCATAACACAAATACTAATTTGATGGACTACTTCATAGTGTTAAAGAGTAGCATGTCAGACCTAAGTGAAGCCACCGTCCTCTGAGGAGATGGGCATGGTGTTCACTCCTTTGTAGGAGAGGCAGGATTGCACTCACACCATGGAAGCAGTCTGGCGTCAGGAACGGCACCGGGTCTCGCAATCAAACCTACCACTGTTGCCTATGAGGAGCCTTTGAACAATTTCTCTAAAAGTGCTACACTAGGAAAATGGGGTAAATCATTAGGAAAAATATTTCAAACAGAATAACTCTAAACATATTTTTAAAACAAGAGCTTTAAACGGACTCCTTTGGTGAGAAAAGACATACATACAACACATCTGTAAGTACGTGGATCTAAATACCACTACCACAGACTTCTTTGGTGCTTCGAGAATTAAGGACACCTTGACATTATTTCAGAGACCAGACTGTGACAACTACTGACGGCAGATAACATGTTTATAGCGAAAGACGGTGGGTCTGAGGTATTTTCCCTAGATCTCATGGCTACTAAATGCTGGAAGAAAGACTTCAGATGCGAATTCCCAGTCTGTTTCTTCCAAAAGAAAATAACTCAGAACACTTGTTTTCAGAGTCAAATGCTAAAGCAATGAGCATGCTTATGATTTTAATTAATTATCTGGGAAGGCACTGCTGTGGAATTGGCTTGAAAATGAACTGTAAAAATAAAATTTAACAAATACCCCATGTAACAAGAGCACACACTGGTCAGTATCAATTCCACCCTGCATGCTAACAGGAAGTTTTAAATTATTTTCGTTAATATTTCCCTACTTTCATTATACTGCCCCCTCCCACACCTTTCTCAAGAGATCCCCATACACAAACCTCGTCTCCTTCCTGGGGTCTCATCAAGGACACCCGGTCATATTGCTTCAAGATCAAAGCCCAGAGTGCATCCAGACGACCCTGGAGAGAGATTGGATTTGTGAACTTGGGTAGCTTCATTTCATTGATCAATTAAGTAAGTTAGTAAATACAAAAACTTGAAGGCTTTTATGCTAAGAAAATAAGTAGTTGCTAGAGCACAAAATGAGTATCTGCTATCTGATGTGCCTTAGTCTTCCTCCTGGGACAGGAGAGACAGTAAAAGCTACTGCGTTCCTGTTAGCTTTAAGCTGTATCACACGAAATGCAGGCAAGTACCTTGATCGGCGTGTACCACTTTGTCTGAGGGGCCTGGTATGTGGGTTTGGGTCGAGGTGGTCTTGATGGCATGGGTATCTCTTCTTCGGGGATCATCACCACAGCATTTTTGGCTTTCTCTAGTCTTGCCCCTTCCTCCGTAGATCCTTTATCTCCCCAGCGGACCTTTAAAACGAAGGAGACACTGATGTCAGACAAAGGGTCCCAGAGGAGCAAGCTCTTACTTGGCCCACGGGCCTTCCAGTCACCAGCCCAGTGTAGGAAGATGAATTGGTATAGTTACTCCCGGTTCCTTCTCTTCTGAGTTTTAATGGGTCCCTTGCCACTCATTATTATTTGCCTGTGTGTGTATGTGTGGGTATATATGTGCATGTTCATGTGTGTTTGACTTCATACGTGTGTGGAGGCCAGAGGTAAACTTCAGAGGTCATTCCTCAGGTGCCCTCCACCATGTGTTTTGAGACAAAGTCTCTCACTGGGACCTGGAGCTAGCCCATTAGAATAAGCTGGCTGGACAGGAAGTTCAGGGATCTTCCTGTCTCTGTTTTCTCATCATTCATTATTATATTATTATCATGACCCAAATGCAAAATAACTCTTGTAAAAATATGATATCACTTAAATCTGGTGTAATGGTTTCTCCATCAGTTCAAATAAGGAGATAATTTGTGGTATACATAGATAATGTATGACTACATAGTTCAATTCTACCTTAAGGTATTTGGGATGGTAATGGTAGCATTTATTCAATGTGTTCATGTGCATTCAATCCATACAAAAATGCAAGGGAATAGATACTATGTGTGTCTCTTCCAGATGACAGACCTATGGCACAGGTTAAAAAAAATGTGCCCAAAGCCACCACAGGTGTGTACAGACAGGGCAGGGATTTGGACATAAGCAGTAAGAAATGAGTGAATAAGTTTTACATGATTTTGAATTACATAAATTTATCTTACATAAAAGGAATTAATCTTTTTAAAGTTTTTCATATTTGATTGGTTCAGAAAGTATGAATTTCCATTTACAGCATTCTTCTTGCCAAAAAAGCTTTCTGTCTTTAGTTCTTTTGCTCATCTGAATATAGTCATTTGATAAATAAATTCTTACTTGAGAGACAGGAATTGGAAAAGGTTCTGTTTTGAGGGGAAAAAACATAGACCATTAGGGAATCCCACAGATTTTAGATCATTTCATTCTCTGGCAACTCTTGATATTGACCCAAACCAAGAGGACTGGGGTTATTGTTTTCTTTACTTTTCAGTAAACAGAAATTAAGAGCCAAGTCATAACCCAATAATATATGAATAGGAAATGGTCTCTGGAGAAGGACTTTACCCAAACAGGATCAGTAGGAGAATCCCAGGACATTACCTAAGAGGACAGCGCCCAACAAACAATGTGCATGTAGAGAAGCAAAGACCAGTCCAAGATATGCTACAATACACCATTAAGTAATCTCAGTGGAAGAAAAAGTTTAAAGTCACTGACTGAATTGTTAAAGCAGGAAGATGGATGGTTACTTTTCATAGGAAAAAAAAAACTATGCTAGCTTTTTTTTATAAAGCCACTTGGATAGTTTTAAACACATACACACACACCCCTTTTTACTACAATTTTAGGATAATTTTTAATTTCAAGTGGATCCTGCTGAATCATCAAAGTCTATCTGTATCTTTCAATGTGATCAATGGCTAGAATGTTCTTTGTGGGGTTGTTAAATTTGTTTGAAACATGTACACTGTAAAGATTTGTCACTTGAATTGGTTTAATAAAATGCTGATTGTCCAGTAAAAAAAAAAATTGTTTGAAACACATTTAACCTAGATAGTTGGGCTTTCTTTCTGAAAAAAAACAAAGGAAGAAAGGAAGGAAAGAGGAAGGGAGGGAGGGAGGGAGGGAGGAAGGAAGGAAGGAAAATTACCATCCTTTTTTCAGATCACAGTCTTCACCTAGATAAGCTAATACTTAGAATAAGATCTTTAGATATAACTAATGAATTTAAAACTAGTACACATTTCTTGCAGCTGAAACATCTCAATTTTGGGGAACAAAACTAAACAAAAGAGACAGGTGGTTTAATAAACACATGGATTCAACAACTCATAGAAATAGTTCAGAGTGAATCCGTAAGTAGATATAATTTGATTCATGCAGAAGGGGTAGATTTGAACACAAACAGCTCATTAGCCTGGCTTTCACAGTTGAAACTGAAGAGGTTAAGATAATTAGACACAAGCCGGGCGGTGGTGGCGCACGCCTTTAATCCCAGCACTCGGGAGGCAGAGCCAGGCGGATCTCTGTGAGTTCAAGGCCAGCCTGGACTACCAAGTGAGTTCCAGGAAAGGCGCAAAGCTACACAGAGAAACCCTGTCTCGAAAAACCAAAAAAAAAAAAAAAAAATAAAAAATAAAAAATAATTAGACACAATATCACTGGACCCATTCTCAGATTTTAAAAAAGTGAAAGTGGGTTGAACTGCAGTTCTGATCCAGCATGGCATTCCCAGGCTTTGATGATGATATGCATGACCCTCAGTCATAGAGGCCTAAGGAGATTAATAAGTTTGCTGTCTTTTTCATGAAAAAGCTTCTGGGTTATCACCAACCTTCACCAAATACAAGTTTCACTTAATCTCAAGGATTAAGACTAAAAGATACCTTGTAGAAGTATCCTGCAACCCTACAAAGGAATTAAACGTGTGTGTGTGTGTGTGTGTGTGTGTGTGTGTGTGTGTGTGTGTGTGTAAATTTTAAATTTTTAAGTTGATCACAATGTGATGCCCTGAAAGGATGGAAGGAAGAAGAACAGAAATAGATTGCTAAAGAAATTCTTAGGAGAGTTTGCCTACAGCTTTATTTTATTATGGGGAAAAAGTAGGTAAGTACAAACTTCAGAGTTGGATTCTTCCAGTTCCACTTGGCTTTCATTATCAACAACGAGTTTCCTAATTCTCAAAGCATATTTGGATAACTTAGAGTCTATATGATAAAGGAGCAATTTCAGAATTTTTAAAAGTCTGTTTCATGAGAAATTGGCAGAAACCCCCGTGTGAAGTGATTAGGAATTGTAGTAGATCTGTTGTGATAACAGCTGTTATTAAAAGCTCTGCTCCAGCTTTCCGAAAACTCCATTAGAGGAGAGTTTAAATCAATATTTAAATTAAAAGAGTGAGATTTGTAAAACCCAGAACAACAAGTATCCATTGTGACTTAATCTAACCTCAGCTCTGAAGGTTTCTTCTCCAATTCTGACGACCTCAGAACTTCTATAATCCGTTTACTCTTCCCAGCTTACGTACTTTGCAGGTTTGAAGAGGTGTGCTTATAAAAGCATTATGGATGGTTTCCCCACTCCAATTCTAAATTCACCGTTGAGAAATTTTAATGATACTTAATTCTCAATTCAGTTTTATTGTGTACCTGTATATACTGAATTTCTTCTTTGTAAATATCTGTACTTTCTTTGTCGTTTTAAAAATTCATTATCATCCTATTTACCATCATATCAATAGAGTATTCCATTTATGTGGCCAAAATTTTTCAAGATTAATGGACACAGACTCAATGGAGGTTGACTCTTTCTTTTTCAAGAATAAAATTTTCGTCTACTAAAAAGGAAGGACAGGTGGTACAATGTCGCATGCTGGAATTCGAGGACTCTTGAAGTTGGAATTACAGGCTACTGGGAATGTGTCTGTGCTTTCTTGAGCATAGAGAAAATACTGCAGTTTGGATATGGAAAGCCCTGTAGGGACCTGGGTCTTGGTCATTGGTGTGGCTCTTTTGGAAGGTGGCAGCACCTGTAAGAGGCGGGACCCAGGAGGAGGGCTAAGAGTTTTTACAGGTTGTGCATCTGGGGGTGATAGCAAGATGTTCTTTGTCTTGTTTTGCTCCTACCTGCCCATGGTAAGCAGCAAGCTCTACCAAATGCTCCCTGCCACAATGTTCTGCCCAGACCTAGACCCCAAACCAAGAAGACTTACAAACCACAAGTTAACCTGAGCCAAAATAAAATTCCTTTTTTGTAAATTGATTTATCTAAAGTATTGGTAACAAAAACCTGACTAATACATAGAATCATATTCGTTTTTACCCAGGATCTACTCATGGGTTCATGATGCTTTTTTTTAAAGAAAGAATCTCAATCTTTGGACTACTTCACTAACAACAATTAGTTCAACATAACAAATGATATGTAGTATTAATTAGGATAGTTGGTGAGTAGCAAGTAAAAGCTGTTGAAAGTTTTAAATGTGCCTCTTCTATATTTGTGATAAATCCATATCCATGCTGTTGAATATTTTAAAAATTTGTCTGTCAAATAGTAACTAACTGTTGGGTCTTTTCAAAGAAGAACATTGTTGAAACTATGAGTGACTGGCATTCTTGAAGTTGGTGTTCCATGGGGTAATTTTTCCCAAGACAGTAGAGAAACCCGTAACTATTTTTATGCTTGGGATTCAGAAATCTTATCAATGCAGTCCTTTGACCGATGAAGCCTTGGTTCTTGCCTAGTTCTGATATGGCCAGGATGATTCCACAGAAAAGGAATGTGCCCAGAGAAGGCCCAGTGCTAACTAAAGAGGTTATAAAAAGCAGTGTCTGTGGCTCAATAACCCTACAAATACATATTTTAGATTAACACTCTCTATTTCGTTATGAGACCAACCTCCATTCTTTTAATTCCTCCAACTCCTCGACCACCATAATAGGAAGCATCCACAGTTGGCCATTTCTTGTTGGGCAAAGGTTCTTCTTCCTCTTCCTATGGAGATATAGTTTTAAAAGTTGATTTGATTAATTTCTTAAGATGTCGTTTGGTCAGAGCTGCATCACATTTAATGTTTTAAATAATTCCATTGTTATGGGAAAATGTAAAAATTATACCTGGGATATATGGGTGCATTTATAATCACATGCATCAATTTCAAGTGCAGTTCTACAAGAGATTGAGACACCTTCCCTTCAGAAAATTCTCACTACATCACCCCTAGGCTAAGAGAAGTTGCTTTTTTTAACTGTTAGTATTGTGTATTTAAACCAAGTATATCCACCAGTTCAAATTTGAAAAGATGATTCAACTTAGGGCAACACTTCAACAATTATTTCATGTGTCAATATATATGTAACTTTGAAGTGTGAAATTTATAGTGAAAAGACAAAATTTAAAGAAGTCTAAAAATGCACAATACCAGCAATTCCTTACTTTATATTGCTAGAATGATGTTAGCTAACAAAGGAATATAATAGCAAATTGTCACTTTGAAGAAAGTAAGGGCATCTTTGACCTGCCAGCTTGGATATTTCAACAATTTTAGATATGTGTCATCAGGACTATTAATATATTATTATAAAATATATTAAATTTCTATGTACTTTGATCCTGTAGCTAGTCTACCAATGAAGGGCTCATTCCTCTACTCCATGAAAGAAATCATAAGATTAAAAAATAGCAGTTGGTTTTCACAAATTAAAAAGTAGATACTGCCGGGCGGTGGTGGCGCACGCCTTTAATCCCAGCACTCGGGAGGCAGAGGCAGGCAGATCTCTGTGAGTTCGAGGCCAGTCTGGGCTACCAAGTGAGTTCCAGGAAAGGTGCAAAGCTACACAGAGAAACCCTGTCTCGAAAAACCAAAAAAAAAAAAAAAAAAAAAAAAAAAAAAGTAGATACTTAGTTATCACATAAATAGAATTGGTCTAATTTTGGAATGATATTTACATATAAAAATAAAACAACTCTATGGTGATATTCTATTTGTATTAAAATGTTATTTGTATGTTAATAAATAAAGTTGCCCGGGGGTCAGAGCTATTAGCAAGCCATAGGAAAGCAGGGCAGTGGTGGCGTACTCTTGCAATCCCAGCACTTGGTAGGCAGAGCTTGGTAAGTCTCTGTGTGTTCAAGGATACAGCCATTATTGGATACACATGCCTTTAATCTCAATACCAATCATGGAAAACCTGGAGGCCTATACAGACAGGCCGTGAGGAGGCGGTCATGTGGTTGGGTTTACAACCAATGAGAAGGCAGGACAGGAACTCTTATATAAAGACTTTAACACAGGGGTAGCTCTGGTTCGGAGAGATAGAACCACTGCAGGAGGAAGGGTAAGGTTTTAGCTCTTAGCTCTGACCTCTTGGCTTTCTTCTTTGCATTGGTTCTGTGTTTCTTATTTAATAAGAAGGTTGTTTACATCTACACAACTCCATATCACTTTATTAGGCACTCACCTCCTTTGGTGCAGGAGGTGGTGGGGGAGGATCCTTGATAACCTGTCCCAAAACAAAACATAATAAAATGTAAAAAGTTCCATAACATAAGAAAAAGTAAGAATATATATATATATATATATATATATATATATATATATATATATATATATATATGACCCAATGGCTACTGTCTTAATTCCAGAGGTGGATTAAGATTTAAAAAAAAACTGTACTCAAATGAGGCTGACTTAAGGTTATGAACTATATATCCCCTTTATTAAGAAAGGGATACTTTATATCTTTACTGACCTATATATCCAGTGTAAGTACTGCTATCAGCATTTCACTCCATAAGATCAACACCAACACAACCTTTCTTCCCAATGTTTTCTTTCTAGTAGTTCACTCTTTCCAGATGTAGACTACAAATGCTGGCATAACCTATAATGTCTCCTTTTTCTAAATAACTTCTCCAAATCCTTTCCAGGTCCAACTGAGTCTTTAACATCATTCTCTACCCTCTCCCCCTCCCATGCCATGAATTCCTGTCTTCCCAAAGCAGACTATCATTTCTGTGATATTTTCAGATGCCTCTCTCTTCTTCCCCAGCATTTATAGGGTTCTTTTTTTTTATCCAGTTAAAAAAAAAAATCCCCTTGTAAATGTCAATACACATTTCACATGCACATTTCCTGCACTCTGTGCTTCCACTGTTTAGCAGAGTGGGATTGGTACAAAATACACTTTCAAGGATGTAAGGCAGGAGGGAAGGGGGGACGTCCGGAGGAGAGAAAAGTGAAAAGGGTGGGAAGAGAAAAGAAACGGAGGAGGAAAAGGTAGAGAGGAAGAAGGGAAACAGGGGGGAGGAACTACAGAAAGAGAAAAGATAAAGGGATAAGAAGGAATTTTTTTTATTTCATTTTCACTGTCACAACCCAAAGTCAAAGACTTAGGAATCTATGGACTTTAAAGATGTCAAGCACGTTTTTCAACTCATGCAAGTTACACACAACCAAAACTTCAATATTCTAAAAATTCCCCACCTAGTAGTGGTTCCAGTTATGTCTGGACTACTGCAATAGAGAAATTCACTATTTCATAAATCATCATTTGACTGGCAAGGGACTCATCACTTAAGTTTTTTTCCCCAAAATAAAGCCAAAGCTTCTCTTTCTAACAGTTTCCACTCTTCAGCCCCGGTCCTGGAGTCTGGAAAACCTCAGCTTACACACACACACACACACACACACACACACACACACACACACACACTTTTTCTTCCTAATGAAGATAAATTCCTGGTTTTGGAGACTACAATGATTACTTCATTTGTATTGAGGTTATATTTGGGAGCTAAAGATAAAACTCATTTTTTATAAAATGGGTTATTTTGTTCACTTGCTGTAGTACATATTCATTTTCAATATCCTAACTACAGTTTCCTTAACCCAAAATAACATTTTTAGATATGGTTCAGCAATTAAACTCAATAGCATTTTGGACAAAGCTGTTGGACCTTGTGCTTCCTTGCCTCTTCTTGGCATTTTAATTGATGGGTTTCAAAAAAGAGAAAATGGGATTGATAGGGGAAAGTGGTGAGATTGATGGAGGAGAAAATGGAGGGGAGGGATTAGGAGTGGTAGATTTGATCAGAATATATTATATGCATATAGGAAATGCTCAATAAAAAGCAAAAAAAGGAAAATATTAATACTAATATCCATGCTGTTGATAGTCTTATCATTACATTTTTTCCAGTGGTTATATGCAATCCTTGTGGTAAAAATTAAACAACTATCCCCTTTCAGTATCTCTAGCAAGGCTTTGTTTTAACTTGTGTAATCGGGTCAATAGTCTTCTAATAGAAGCTTAGTCAATCATTTGTCCAGTCAAAATTGACTCAAAGTTCCGATGCATACAGTTCAAATCAAGAAATCATTTAATTTTATTGTAAGGACTTTGGGATTTCTGTCTCTCTTACGCCTTCCAAGTGTTCTCTGGAGATCTCTCACTAAAGAAAGTCCAAAATACACCCTTATATTGTAATGAGCCTGAACATATCTGAGATCACTTTTATTTCATAGCAAAAATTTCAAATTTACTCTTATAACATGCACATCTTGCACAGATAAATAAAAAATAATATAAATAGATTCTCTAGCAGTCTCCTGTATCATATCATCCTGGGTATTACTACATATTCTCTTCAATAACCCTTCCTTTTTATTTCATACTGACCATCTACATGAGTGCTAATAGAGGAAAATGAAGACTGCCTAAGTTTCTTCTAGAAGGCAGCAGAAATTGGCTCAGGAGTTAAGAGCATTTACTGCTCTTGGAGAAACTCCAGCTTCACTTGTCAGAACTCACATAGTAGTTCACAACCACCCATAACTCCGGTTCCAGGGGAACCAATTTCCTCCTTTGACCCCTGTGGACTCCTGTATGCATGTGACACACATACATACACTCTGGTACACACACACACACACACACACACACACACATAAAATAAATAAATATGTATTTAAAATCTTTATGTAGTCACTTCTGTCAGACTCACGCAGGACAAGGAGCACCGTTGTGTATTTCCATTTTGCTGGAAAGCCTTTACTTAGCATAATCTGTAATGTGGCGATATCAAGCCTCTGGGGTACATCTATATGAGCCAGCTGTTCTGTTGTCACTGTCTGATGCCTTAGTTTTCACACAACTCTGCCCCAACTTTCTCTCTACATGTATCTAACTCCAACAAGATTGGTAATCCCCCTACTTCCTTCAAATATATGGACCATTAACATTTTAGGTCATGATCAAGCTCCAAGTTAGTAAGCAAAATGTTGATTAAAATGTGAAAATGATACACTAAGAGTTCCATGATAGCAAAACATTGCTTATTTCAGTGAAAATAGTCATCAGTTTTCTCTATCAACCAATGAATTCAGAGAACTAGTGAATATAACAGTAATTGGAAAGACATAAGATCATCACCATTTTCTACATCTGGGAAATAAATTGGATTAATTTCGGGTTTTCTCCAACATGAAAAGCCTAATAAGATAATAAAAGTACATACATCACAATACTTCTAACAGGTCTTTTGTTTCTACAACTTTCCACAATTACGTGTGGATATATATGTGTGTGTGTGTGTGTGTGTGTGTGTGTGTGTGTGTGTGTGTGTGCACCTATGCCTTGCATTCCTATCATTCCAGAAAAGAATCTTTTAGAGGTAATTTTTTCAATTAATATGAAACTATGCACATGATGTATTATAAATTTAAGGAGATTTTGAAGTCTGGAGGTATGCATGGTTAACAATGAAAATAAACCTTTTATGTCCTATCTCAATTGAATGCCAATCTACCGAATCGAGAGACACAACCTCCATCACAACAAATGACAGGGACCCCAGGACAGGACCCAGAACTGGGGTTGGACTGTGTTCTTCTTGCTAACAGTAACCATCTTTCACTTGTGCTGTCATATGGCAGACACTCTTTATTTTCATAACCCTGTAAGATAACTATGCTGATGTCTATTTTAAGCACAGCAAAAGGAACTCCAACAACCCCTAGTTACAACACCTCTCCAATACAAAGTCAATACAAAGAGCAAAGACAGAACTGAAATTCAAATCCACCACTTAGAACAACCCACTTCCAAACTCTGAGTTTAATTCCATTACATTAGATAGTTTCAAATGAAAGGCAGCTGCCAAGGGAAAGTCTGTGAAAGATTAGGTGTTTGCCAAGCAATTGTTACTGGGATGGATGGGTGAATGGAATCACAGATGATAGAAAATCAGAGTTACACAAAGTGTAGGCTTGAGATGGGCTTTATACCATTTCAGAGAAGCATTGAACATTCACTGTGATGCCCCCCCCCCCAATCACTCATTAAGAAGTTTCAGGACAGGAAATAAACTAGTTTTCTTCTTACATTTGAAACTATTCCTATACACATTACGACGTGGCCTCGTAAGTAACAAAAGGGCAAGAAAATAACGTCCCTAATGACAGGAGTCTGTGGAAGCGGCAAGCCTGCACACCAGTAAAATTTGTTTGGGGGGAGAAGGCAACTCAGTGTTGTCCAAGCGCATTAAAACTAACAGTCATGAGGATCTCATTCTCGTATTAAATAGTGCAAGAGCACATTCACTCCAGAGAAGGGTGCATTCGTGTGCACCATATTTCATGAGAATTTACAGGTTTTAAAAGGCATAATATTGCCTAGTTGCCAGGATTTTTTCCACTTAGCATCCTTCAGCTCTGTATTGAAAATTCTGGAAAACACTTTCACCACTTTACGAACCATATGGAGAGTTTGAGTCTTCTCCAATTTTTTTTTCCGTTTGTTATTATCATCATCGGGGTGGGTGGGGGGAATTACATCTCATCTACTTAGCTGCTAGAATGAAGATTTCAGTTTGGAGGAGAGCCGATTTCTTAAAAATTTAAAAAAAAAGAAAGAAAGAAAGTTAGCTGCTTCAGGCAACAGTCCTTTTGATCTGCTCATTAACACTTTTCAAATGTTCGAGTGATGTGGGCATTCTTTGCGCTAGAAAATGTCAGCACTGGAGCCTGCAGCCAGCTTGATGCAATCATATGTTCTGATACTCAGAAAAAAAAAAGTGAAAGAACTGTCAGCATTGAACTGCTTTGGATTTTACACACACACACACACACACACACACACACACACACACACACACAGATACAGTATAATGACTGTAGATAAGTAGTATTTCAGAAGTAATTTTTGCCAGTAATTAAAAGAAAGCCATCTACATGCTACAAGCCCACAGACAATGGGAGAAACACTCTGTTTACAGGAAGTTTTAAAAAAAAAAATGTGGTATAGGTGGGCCTCCCTTTCATTTTCTCCTTGACAAAACCATGGGTCAAGGACAGTGTCTTTCTTCCGGAGTGCATAAGCCCTAAGTTCCCTTAGGTTGGTACTTGGAAAGTCCTTTTCTGAATCCCACAGTTGGACACAGAAAATATAGTCCAGTTATCTTGTCCTTCTTTTCCTTCCCTTCTCAGCAAAGTCACCAGTGC